CAACAGGTTAGTTCTACATATTTGATCAATTTGATCAAAACAACTCTACTGTTGACATGCTTACCTAACGTGACAAACACACAGACATGTCCCAAAATAAATTACTTCACTCCCTCCCTTAAATTGTATTAAGTGTACATCTGCTTCTGATGTATACCTGTATCTGTCACACTCCCCATTCTCATGTGCAAAGCTGCGAACTGTCCTCAAAGATGCAACTGTCTCCTCTGCTACCTCGTTTGCTCTGGCGAGGGAGTCCTGTACAGCCTTGGATAATTTCTGCACAAAGAAAAGCAGAAGAGTTTAAACCAATTGTTCTTCAGTAGCTAATGATAAGGTTTTCCAAGTCTTTATTTTAACAAGAGCTCTAGAATCCTTCACAGACAGAGAGAAGCTGGAGACAGAGAGGAATAGATGATTCTCTACACAACATACATGTATCTGTAGCAATGTTTTGAAAGCTTATAACCTTAGCTTAAAACATCATCTTACCTTAAAGTACTTTCCATAGATTTTGGACACACCAGCAACAACAGGGACAATCACTAACGTGAAGATGGTGAGTTGCCATGACAACTTGAACATGAAGAAGAGGGTGCCTGCTCCTCTCACGAAGCTCCGAAGGAAAATGTTCAGGTTCAGGGACAGCATGTCTGACATGGTGGATGTGTCAGAGGTCAACCGAGATGTGATGTCACCTGGAAAAAGCCACACCAAGTCAATTTGTCTGTTCTTGTAACATTTGGGGTTCAAAAATGCCAAAACTGAATTTTCTTTTTGTCCTTCAGGTTAATCTGTGACAAAGTAAGTTGGTTGTTTACCTGTTTTCACGCTGTCAAAGAAGCCTATCTCTTGTTGGGTGACAGACTTGAAGAGGAGGTTGCGTAGTCGTATGTTCAGTCTGGCCATACAGACTGAGAACAGACCACCCCTCAGACCTGCACACACACCGCTGGAACCATCAATCAATGTTAGTCAGTAAGTGCAGTCACATAGGTGAGCTTAAGAAGCTGAGGTACAGAAACTAAACACGGGTATATAAGTCAAGAGGCTGAAGCTTAAGTGTCTGGCTACTAGTATTGTTGTGCAATCATCATCTTTTGGTAGCAAAATGGTACAAGTGGCCACACTATCTTAAACTTGTAACTTGTATCTTTAAAATCTCTATTTATACACTCAGCATGGCAATGCAATCTATGACAGGCTTTTGAGGCCATTAGATTGACTTGAATGAGAGCTTATAAATGCTTATAAAATATAGGTTAAATGTTTATAGACAAGATTACAAGGAGTAGGGAAGCACCAAATGGCATAATCTTGTGCATGTTGTGTAAAGTTTATTGACCTTGTTATGGACAGCAGTGTCATGATGATGATGGCTCGGGTGAACTTTTCCTGTGACTTCTCAATGGCTATCCCATCAATCACCTGGCCAGTGTAGTAAGGCTCAAAGATGTCACCTGCAGGGAACAAACAAATCATCAGTCAGCACTTCTAGAATCCTGCACAACTCAGGAAACTGTGGTATAAAATAACTGTAATTGGAGAAAAAGTAAGATCGTCTGTTGAAATGTTAAAAAAGGGCTAATTTGACTGAGAATGAAGCTCCAAAACAGTCAACATGAGACAAGAGTACATATTCATCCTTGAATGCTTCAACTAGTCTTTTGGCTAGCTTTCTTATGCTGTTAAGAAAATCCCTGTAATTATGATGTACAAAAAGGAAGTAAAGATGATAAAGCAAGACAATCTTAACACAAAACTTGACTCTCATACACTGAGCATAATAAAAGTGATTGTTTATATGAAAAGCTCC